CTTCGAGAATTTAGCCACTTAAATTGTAATTACCAGACAAAGCTTATATTTTAAAATACAATTTTTTCGTAGCTATTTTTCTTTGTTCTGGTACGTTTCTAATGGATGGCCTTCGGTTTTTATACTAAAACGTCGATATGCCATATCAAACATTTTTCCCCTTAGTATGTCCCGCGCGAAGTTTGAATAAAAATTTTTTCATTGGCTGCTTGCATACCTATGTTGTCCCCAACTACTGACACTAATAGATCATCAACAGAATGAAACGTGGATTTGAAAATTACACATCTAAACATAGTAAAGTGTAGAAACTGCTTGTATACTTTTTTAAGCAAAAAAAATTATTTAAATAAGCTCTAGTGAAAATGTCTTTGAAAACTTTACTCTACAAACAGCACAATAGCTAATTGTAAGTGTTTTTTTTTTCTCTCAAATGCTAGGACCTACAATAAAAATTAAAATATAATTGATAAACTTAAAGTATTTTTTAACAGTTTCATCATTATCTTTCTTAGAAAAACTTAATTAAGCTTCGAGAATTTAGCCACTTAAATTGTAATTACCAGACAAAGCTTATATTTTAAAATACAATTTTTTCGTAGCTATTTTTCTTTGTTCTGGTACGTTTCTAATGGATGGCCTTCGGTTTTTATACTAAAACGTCGATATGCCATATCAAACATTTTTCCCCTTAGTATGTCCCGCGCGAAGTTTGAATAAAAATTTTTTCATTGGCTGCTTGCATACCTATGTTGTCCCCAACTACTGACACTAATAGATCATCAACAGAATGAAACGTGGATTTGAAAATTACACATCTAAACATAGTAAAGTGTAGAAACTGCTTGTATACTTTTTTAAGCAAAAAAAATTATTTAAATAAGCTCTAGTGAAAATGTCTTTGAAAACTTTACTCTACAAACAGCACAATAGCTAATTGTAAGTGTTTTTTTTTTCTCTCAAATGCTAGGACCTACAATAAAAATTAAAATATAATTGATAAACTTAAAGTATTTTTTAACAGTTTCATCATTATCTTTCTTAGAAAAACTTAATTAAGCTTCGAGAATTTAGCCACTTAAATTGTAATTACCAGACAAAGCTTATATTTTAAAATACAATTTTTTCGTAGCTATTTTTCTTTGTTCTGGTACGTTTCTAATGGATGGCCTTCGGTTTTTATACTAAAACGTCGATATGCCATATCAAACATTTTTCCCCTTAGTATGTCCCGCGCGAAGTTTGAATAAAAATTTTTTCATTGGCTGCTTGCATACCTATGTTGTCCCCAACTACTGACACTAATAGATCATCAACAGAATGAAACGTGGATTTGAAAATTACACATCTAAACATAGTAAAGTGTAGAAACTGCTTGTATACTTTTTTAAGCAAAAAAAATTATTTAAATAAGCTCTAGTGAAAATGTCTTTGAAAACTTTACTCTACAAACAGCACAATAGCTAATTGTAAGTGTTTTTTTTTTCTCTCAAATGCTAGGACCTACAATAAAAATTAAAATATAATTGATAAACTTAAAGTATTTTTTAACAGTTTCATCATTATCTTTCTTAGAAAAACTTAATTAAGCTTCGAGAATTTAGCCACTTAAATTGTAATTACCAGACAAAGCTTATATTTTAAAATACAATTTTTTCGTAGCTATTTTTCTTTGTTCTGGTACGTTTCTAATGGATGGCCTTCGGTTTTTATACTAAAACGTCGATATGCCATATCAAACATTTTTCCCCTTAGTATGTCCCGCGCGAAGTTTGAATAAAAATTTTTTCATTGGCTGCTTGCATACCTATGTTGTCCCCAACTACTGACACTAATAGATCATCAACAGAATGAAACGTGGATTTGAAAATTACACATCTAAACATAGTAAAGTGTAGAAACTGCTTGTATACTTTTTTAAGCAAAAAAAATTATTTAAATAAGCTCTAGTGAAAATGTCTTTGAAAACTTTACTCTACAAACAGCACAATAGCTAATTGTAAGTGTTTTTTTTTTCTCTCAAATGCTAGGACCTACAATAAAAATTAAAATATAATTGATAAACTTAAAGTATTTTTTAACAGTTTCATCATTATCTTTCTTAGAAAAACTTAATTAAGCTTCGAGAATTTAGCCACTTAAATTGTAATTACCAGACAAAGCTTATATTTTAAAATACAATTTTTTCGTAGCTATTTTTCTTTGTTCTGGTACGTTTCTAATGGATGGCCTTCGGTTTTTATACTAAAACGTCGATATGCCATATCAAACATTTTTCCCCTTAGTATGTCCCGCGCGAAGTTTGAATAAAAATTTTTTCATTGGCTGCTTGCATACCTATGTTGTCCCCAACTACTGACACTAATAGATCATCAACAGAATGAAACGTGGATTTGAAAATTACACATCTAAACATAGTAAAGTGTAGAAACTGCTTGTATACTTTTTTAAGCAAAAAAAATTATTTAAATAAGCTCTAGTGAAAATGTCTTTGAAAACTTTACTCTACAAACAGCACAATAGCTAATTGTAAGTGTTTTTTTTTTCTCTCAAATGCTAGGACCTACAATAAAAATTAAAATATAATTGATAAACTTAAAGTATTTTTTAACAGTTTCATCATTATCTTTCTTAGAAAAACTTAATTAAGCTTCGAGAATTTAGCCACTTAAATTGTAATTACCAGACAAAGCTTATATTTTAAAATACAATTTTTTCGTAGCTATTTTTCTTTGTTCTGGTACGTTTCTAATGGATGGCCTTCGGTTTTTATACTAAAACGTCGATATGCCATATCAAACATTTTTCCCCTTAGTATGTCCCGCGCGAAGTTTGAATAAAAATTTTTTCATTGGCTGCTTGCATACCTATGTTGTCCCCAACTACTGACACTAATAGATCATCAACAGAATGAAACGTGGATTTGAAAATTACACATCTAAACATAGTAAAGTGTAGAAACTGCTTGTATACTTTTTTAAGCAAAAAAAATTATTTAAATAAGCTCTAGTGAAAATGTCTTTGAAAACTTTACTCTACAAACAGCACAATAGCTAATTGTAAGTGTTTTTTTTTTCTCTCAAATGCTAGGACCTACAATAAAAATTAAAATATAATTGATAAACTTAAAGTATTTTTTAACAGTTTCATCATTATCTTTCTTAGAAAAACTTAATTAAGCTTCGAGAATTTAGCCACTTAAATTGTAATTACCAGACAAAGCTTATATTTTAAAATACAATTTTTTCGTAGCTATTTTTCTTTGTTCTGGTACGTTTCTAATGGATGGCCTTCGGTTTTTATACTAAAACGTCGATATGCCATATCAAACATTTTTCCCCTTAGTATGTCCCGCGCGAAGTTTGAATAAAAATTTTTTCATTGGCTTCTTGCATACCTATGTTGTCCCCAACTACTGACACTAATAGATCATCAACAGAATGAAACGTGGATTTGAAAATTACCCATCTAAACATAGTAAAGTGTAGAAACTGCTTGTATACTTTTTTAAGCAAAAAAAATTATTGAAATAAGCTACAGTAAAAATGTCTTTGAAAAACTCTATTCTACAAATAACACATTAGCTAATTTTAACTTTTTTTCATTTTTTTTAATGCCTGGAACTAAAGCAGCTGTTAATCATGTAGATATTTTGGAATCTTCAAAACATCACGATATTTTTGATGAGGATGATAATATTAAGAAATAACACCAATAAATTTATACTTAATGGTTTAACAGAATCGTCATGCAATTTGGGATAACTACAAAAAAGCTAAAATTATTTATAAAGAAATGTCTGTAAATGCTTCTAAATCTGATTTATAAGATGATGAAAATTTCAAGGGCTTGTATATACCTATACTTAAAGATGAATTTATTGACGTAAATAAGACAGATGTTAAATTTTCACATAAAAACAGTAAAAAAAAATTCCATTTGACAATATTCTATTAGCAGAACAATGGGAAGAGAATGGGCAAAATGTGTGCTTTTTCTATACATGTGCTTATGATTCTTTAACGGAAATCGTTAGTTTTTGCATCTGTAACTTGAATAATTTTAAACATTATATAAAATCACATCAAACTAAATGCGTAGCTAGACAAAACTTGAGTTATGTAAATGCATTAATGAATTATACCTTATTAGGAGCTAGTACCTCGATTTATATAGATAGAGCTTACATTTTGCAATCAAAATTTCCTACTATAAACGGTTCCATTAACTGCACAAACAAATGTTAGTTCATTGTTTTCATATTTAATGGAAGATTTAGATAGCTGCATAGAAGTTTTTGAATGTAAATGTGGTGAAAAAAGGGAATTAAAGATATACATTATACCAATACCAAATATTAACATTGTACGTGAACATGAATATGCATATTTAGAAATAAAATTAAATCAATACTTGCAGTATAAGCCTGTTTATATACTGTCATCAATGTTCAAATACTTCAGCTCGCATCATTCATAATACAGGATCCTACTTGTATTTGTTGAAGATGCCCATAGATAATTATTGGCACTAACTGCAACCAAAGATTATGATAAAGACAAAGATGAAAGTATGGAATTGAGTCACTACAAACTTGAACATAATGTACTAAAAAAGCTTTCCATAAAAAATAATTGTTTTGTATTGTGTGGTGCAATCAAGCACATTCCTCCTGCTCGGCCCAATGTTCCGGTTGTCCCAATTTCTGCCTTCCAGCTTACTTTGACGGCTTTACCCACTTCACTACACAATCTAATTTATAAATTTGCAAAACAGATCTAAGTATGCTCCTGACTTCTAACGTTCTAACCAACAATCAAAACAAATAGATTCAGAGATTTCGGAGTAAAGCAGAAGCGAGAGATCTCTAGCGGGACAGCGGAGTACTTAGTACCTTTATTATCATCTAAGTATATACTTAGACATCGCACATCGCGTTCGCCGCGAACGGTTCGCGTAGCGTATAGTCCCGAAGTTGGGCATGCGCACTGATGCTTAGTGCTACAGCAGGCTACAGCTGCATCAACTATATAAACAGTTCACTGACAAATCCAATCAATAGTTAATTAATTAAAGCTGTATGCTGATAGAAATTTTGCATGTGCAGTTGAATTTGAACATTGTAAGGGCATTTAAAGTTGTGTGCAGTTCGAATTTAAGCTTTTTGTTAACCTATTTGTGGAATTACAACCGGATGCAGAAAGTTTGATGCATTTTGGATAATTTTTTTGTTACGATTACGATATGAACAACTACAATTGTTTGAATAAATGAAATGTGCAATTAAAAATACGTAATCCAGTATTTTTTTTATCGTATTAGATTCATGTTCGTAGGCTGGCATGGGGTTGGTTGAAACTTGGAAGTTATCGTTGTTGCATGTAACAACACGTATACGTAATGTAATTATTGACAAATTGTTTTCAGGTGTTGACAAACTCTCCGCTTCTCGCCAATAGGTTACAAACAGCAAGACCTCAACGACAATGGAGATGCCTGATAGAATAGATGATGATGATTTTGATGCGGAAGAGAAGAACGAGGAGATGCCACCGATACCTGCTCCGAGCCCAGCACCCAGCGACCGGAGCAACGGTACAACTTCGCCACCACCCACGTGCAGTATCTGCCTCGGGGTGCTGGTTAACACATCCTTCACCGACAGTTGTTTGCACTTGTTCTGCTTCTACTGTTTAGTGCAATGGTCTAAAATTAAGACAGAGTGCCCATTATGTAAACAAAATTTTCGTTCCATCATACATAATGTGAGATCTGAAGAAGATTATGACCAGTATGACATCGTGAATAATTCGCAAGCTGCTGCTGCTGCTGCCTCAGCTGCTGCTGCTGCTTCAGCTGCCTCAGCTGCTGCATCGCAGAATAACGTCACAGCTGACGGTCAAGAAGAATCTCGTACTGTGGCTGACAGGTATTGTATCTGAACACATTGTTTCAGATTATTGTGCATTATTTCATGATTGTATTAGAATGGTACAATTTTTCTTCGGGAGACTAATTTCTTGTCCCATCACCCAACTCCTGAGTTTTTTTTTTAACCGATTTGAAATTGTGTTTTCATAAGAAATATAAGAACCAGTAAAAATCAGTGGGTTAGCAACGTTCGCTATTGACAAAGTAGTCACAAAAATCCGTTTTTTTTCAGTATTCATTGAAAGTTGAAAAAACTGTAAAATGTGTAGAAAAATATATTAAGTAAAAGTTGTAGCTTACTTTGTTATCTGCAATTTAAAAAATTTGAAGTTTGTCCTATAGCTAAGTTGTAAATCGTAAACAACCAGAAATCGGAATTTTTGTTTTTATTGAATGACCGTTGTTAAAATTGTAATTCAATGCTCAAAACCCACCAAATTGTAGCATAAGTTATGCAGAAATAGTAATCTAAAAATGAAAACCATCTACCAGATAAGTTATATGTAGTGCAATTTGCCACTTAGAAAATTCACTAATTTCAATTTGTTTACTAGTCTATACTTACATGTAAAATTAACTTTTGTTTATTAGGACCGCAAACTACCCTAGAAGATCTGAAAGAGCTGTACTGTTGAATCCGGAGGCTGTGGCGAGACGTGAACAAATACCCAGTATTGCTCGTCAAGTTTCCTCGGAAGAACAAAGACACAGGTTTAGTGATATACTGGACTTTCGGCGGAATGTTTACAGTACAGGAGCATTGGCTATGCCACTGACTGATCGTTACGGTCTTTTTCGACAGTCCAATGCTCATTATTACCGGTAAAACTCATCACTGATTGTTAAATTTCATTTATTGACTGCATGTTATATCAGTATGGAGTGATTTGTGCATACTTACTTTTCAAATTTCAGAATCAACCGTTTAGAAGTCGCCAGACTCGCTGTATGGTTGAACCGTGAGCTGCATGTGTTACTGGACTTGATTCCAGACCATTTTGTTTATGTTTTAAACATAATTTTAGATGCGTTGACTCTCATAGAAATTAACTCCAACGAGTTCCGCAATCTGGTGCGACCTTATTTCGGCGTTTACACGGATCATTTCCAGCATGAATTTTATAACTTTGCTCGCTCTAGCTTTGATATGACTGGCTACGATCAGTCTGTAACTTATTACTCTAACCAAGGTTTGAATCTTTAAACAAATAGCTTTCATGTCCTTTTATACTTTTCACGGAAACCATGGTATTTTTTTGCTTTGACAGGACCTTCTAATGAGGATGTTTCAAGAGCCCTATCCCCAAATTTTAATTCAAGCAGTTCCACCATAAGTGACTCTGAAGTACGAGTAGTTGATCACTTCATTGATTCCAGAAGGTTACTTTCTAACAATGCACCATCAGGTGGTCCACAACAAATTGATGTACTTGGTTAGAAAACTCATTAAATTTGGAATACTTACGTATAAAATGCAAAGTTAATAGTGAATAAATTTATTTCAGGTCTGAGATCCATTGGACAAGCTATAGAATCGAGACAAGCCAGTAATCCAGAGCCAGATATTGTAACTATATTATCTTCATCTTCCGAATCAGAAAATGAATGCGAAATTGTCGCTTATGTTTGGCAGCGACGTAGAAGAACACCAGTAATTATTGATTTAGTTTCTTCGCCAGAAATTATTGATTTATTTTCTTCCGATGAAGGTCATAATTCAGAATTAGAATCTGTTATTGGAGAAGTAAATGAGTGAGTAATTGATATCTTTTACCATAAAAACTTACTGTTGAAAATGAGCACAACAATACGCTAAGAGCAAATGTTTTATGTACAGAACGGAATTAGTACAACCCCCTGAAGAAGAATTGAATCTACCTAGCACATCGACTTCATCAGGAAGTCGCGATGTTAACAGTAGACGCAAGAGACGATACGTACCCACGTATTGCATGGATTCAAGTTCACAATCAGACAACATCAATGACAAAACGGATAGTGACTACGAACCATCTCGGTGCAAAATCCGGCGTGGTTCTCGTGAAAACAGCTCCTCAAGAAAAACCTCCCGAAAGCTTCGCTCGCGAAAACAAAGCTCCAACAAAAGTTCTTCGCGCAATCGACGTACAGATGATAGTTGCAGGGAACGAGAGTTGAACGCCAGCCCAATGTCCTCGCGTGGTAAAAAACGGCGTTTGTCCGAGAGCACTGATAGCGACACAGACAATGAAAACTGCAAAAAAAAATTTAAGAAGAGTACACGATCCGAAAAGTCGAGAGAAAGTAAGCGGCGTTGTCTGCAGCCCTCATCATCAAAGGCACGTATTTACAAGTACAGCAGCGAAGACGAAAGTAGCCATGCCCCTAATAGTGACTCTGACTATGACACCGAGGTCGAGATCAAAAATAAATCTCGCAGAAGAGTAAAAAAGAAAACGACTACGAGTGGAAGACACAGTAACAGCAACTCCTCTGACGATGAAGATGTCAATGCAACATCATCGCATTCAAAAGCAAATAACCAAAAACCATCGAAGAGTTGTTAGTCGAGTGAGAGATCAGCACCTGAAATAAAACTTCTTAACTTAACTTAACTTAACTTAACTTAACTTAAATCAATAAAACTTTTTAACTTCTTTTCTATTGTGAATCGCTTTTAAGACTTGTAGGTGTTGCAGGTGCTGATCTTTCGCTCGATTCACAAGCTGAACATTCCGCATCGTCGTCGACTTGTTGTGAATTGTGAATCGCTTTTAACTTCTTTTCTACGGATGTTCTAATCAATGCCGTACAATATAAGTACCTTCAGACATGGTAAATATGTTATAGTATAAGATACCTATCTATTTCTCGGTCTACTGATGGCAGTAATTTAAACGGTAGCTTTCTTGCTTTCATAAACGGGTTCCGCGTCCGGATTTAATTGTAATCTCGCTTATATTTACGTCACTCAAGGATTCCCACGGTTTTATACCATCAGACAACGCTCTTATGTATTTAAATAACATCGAGCGTTATCCTCTAATGGGACGGGAATGAAAATTTAATTGGACAAGTGCCCCTCTTTATTCTACTTGTACCGTTTTGAAACCGAATACTTGAATACACGATTCAAAAAACGAAATCAAACACAATTTAGTATTGCATACCTTTGTGACCTTAAACGCCTGATTTTGCTCCATGAAGGTTAGTGCCACGCTGGTATTCACTTCAAAATTAACTAATTTTTCGCTCACTAATTACCTCCAGCGTCCTGTAGAACTTTTCTCTTAACCTAATCTTGATAATAGTATATTAAACGTACCTAGTAAGCGGTTAAATTCTATTATTATATTGACTCAAAACGATCTCCCTTTGGCGAGTTTTGAGCTCAGCAGTTATATTTTAACGATTTACGAAGTGTTATGTTATTATTTGACAAAACACCACATGAGGGATTAAATCAGGTGAAAATAAAAATTCACACATCTTTTAATTTCTAATATACTTCTTTTAATTTTATTTAAAGTTTACATAAGAAAAAATGTTTGGATGACTTGTTGGATTTCCTTTTCATACCTTTATTTTTCCTCTGCTCTCCGACGCTTCTGTCTTTCTACCTCGTCCCACGCTTCATTCAAGTCTGCCATCTTAATCAAGAATTGCACTTAGACTTCAAATAGAAAGGCTGACTCACTAACACCTTATAAACTCTTTCATCACAATTCACAATCTTTCAGACGAACCTTCACTCTTGTCACTATCCTTTTGATGACATCTTTAAGGCAATATCCTCTCGATAAAATCCTTAAGATATTATCCCACTTATGGTTTTGTTGTTATTATTTGACAAAACACCACAGAAGGGATTAAATTAGGTGAAAATAATAATTCACACATCTTTTAATTTCTAATATACTTCTTTTAATTTTAATTAAAGTTTACATAAGAAGAAATGTTTGGATGGCTTCTTGGATTTCCTTTTCATACCTTTATTTTTCCTTTGCTCTCCGACACTTGTGTCTTTCTACCTCGTCCCACGCTTCATTCAAGTCTGCCATCTTAATCAAGAATTGCACTTAGACTTTAAATAGAAAGGCTGACTCAATAACACCTTATAAACTCTTTCATCACAATTCACAATTTTTCAGACGAACCTTCACTCTTGTCACTATCATTTTGATGATATCTTTAAGGCAATATCCTCTCGATAAAATCCTTAAAATATTATCCCACTTATGGTTTTGTTGTTATTATTTGACAAAACACCACAGAAGGGATTAAATCAGGTGAAAATAATAATTCACACATCTTTTAATTTTAGCATCTTTTAAGCAGCTCTAAGCGCTCGAAACTTCTTAATTGAACAAATCTATAGTTTGTGCCGCGACTTCACATGCCTTGTATACGGTGGGCCCAATCGTTTTTACTCCACTCGCGGGAGGGGTATTCCGGATTACCGCCTTGCCAACCCATATTAGTTCACTACTCACTCTCTTCGTCCGGAGTCGCTACGGTCGCCATCAGGTCCCTTCCGGGATGCGGGACCCTTTCTCTAGGACCCATACCCCAAGTATGGTTATGTGTGTAAGAGAGAAAGGGTCCCGCATCCCGGAAGGGACCTGATGGCGACCGTAGCGACTCCGGACGAAGAGAGTGAGTAGTGAACTAATATGGGTTGGCAAGGCGGTAATCCGGAATACCCCTCCCGCGAGTGGAGTAAAAACGATTGGGCCCACCGTATACAAGGCATGTGAAGTCGCGGCACAAACTATAGATTTGTTCAATTAAGAAGTTTCGAGCGCTTAGAGCTGCTTAAAAGATGCTAAAATTAAAAGATGTGTGAATTATTATTTTCACCTGATTTAATCCCTTCCGTGGTGTTTTGTCAAATAATAACAACAAAACCATAAGTGGGATAATATTTTAAGGATTTTATCGAGAGGATATTGCCTTAAAGATGTCATCAAAAGGATAGTGACAAGAGTGAAGGTTCGTCTGAAAGATTGTGAATTGTGATGAAAGAGTTTATAAGGTGTTAGTGAGTCAGCCTTTCTATTTGAAGTCTAAGTGCGATTCTTGATTAAGATGGCAGACTTGAATGAAGCGTGGGACGAGGTAGAAAGACAGAATTATTATTTTCACCTGATTTAATCCCTTCTGTGGTGTTTTGTCAAATAATAACAACAACACCATAAGTGGGATAATATCTTAAGGATTTTATCGAGAGGATATTGCCTTAAAGATGTCATCAAAAGGATAGTGACAAGAGTGAAGGTTCGTCTGAAAGATTGTGAATTGTGATGAAAGAGTTTATAAGGT